AAAAAAAAAAAAAAAAAAAAAAAAAATGGCAAAAAAAATTATACATATGTTTTGACAATTTTAGGTGGCAGGTCAACAGAAATGTTGACATTGTCGGATTTAGTATCTTTGGGTTCTGTGATGGACGTAACAGTGAAATCTTTCGTTACAAACCAAGCGTTACGGTATTTCCTTGTTTTCAGATTCCTCTGACAACAGCTGGTAGATTTTACTAAGAGCAGTAGAAGATCAGTTCAAGATATCTGTCAGCTATAAAATCTGAGAGTAAAAAAGAGAATATTGAAAAAATAATTTCTAAAAAATGTCTTATCGTTTACTTTACTGCAAAAGTGAATAAGTTATACTTAAATACTAGTCATATTTATCATAGATCTATATTTATTTGAATACTGAATAACTGCAGCTATCATCAGACTGGCTGATGAGACAGCTGGATTACGCAGAATATTTCAAAAATCTTTAAATAAATTATTTTTTGAATCAAATACTGTTTCATATTTGTTGCATTTTTATATATTTTTTTTTCTATAATGAGTATCTGTCTAAATAAAAAGCAATAATTTTTAAACTTATGATTCCAGAAACTGTTTACCTGCTAAATAGAAAAAAATTTTAATTATTTATACATTGTATAGTTTTAATTATAAAATCTATTGGTTGGATGACTGTTAATTTGTAATTTAGATGCGTCGTGTACATAACGGACTTCACGTACCGCAGGTGGATAAGATTGATACCAACGTTATGCCGTTTAAACATCTGATTCGTTTCATGTTCAAGGAGAAAAGACGTATTAAACGGGATAAGAAATACTGTATCGAAATTAAATTTGAGGTGAGCAAACAGCTTCGGAGTTTTGTTTTTAGAAAATACAAACTTCACTTCAATTAGAATATGGCAAAAAATTTTATTTTTGTTGTCGAAGAAAAAAAAAGAAAATTATTTGTGATTTTCAAAGCAAAAAAGTTTTAACCTGCGCTCAGCTTACAGGTGGCTCAAAAAAAAAAAGTCTTAGAATAATTTGGTCTTAATTATGCGGCACGGTACTTTTGTAATTCTGTAATACATAAATAAGAGTACAATTAACTACAGATAGAAATTCTGTAGTATCAACACTTTTGTCATTATCCAGTTTCTTTCTAGTTTCTTCCGTAGAACGCAACTGTGATTTCTCAGAATCAGATTACGTCAGCTACAAATCAATATTTGAAAACTATTTCTTCATTTACGTTAACAGAGTTTGTTCAACCAAAGAGAATACAGCTTTTTTTGTAAAGTGAACTGTAAGATAAAGTTTGAAAAGTGTTATCAAAAAAAAAAAAAGACTGTGTTGAAAAAGATTATCAACTGCATAATTTAATTATTTTTTGCTGCTTTTTCAAAAGTGTTTTTAGACAGAACAATAATACACAATTTAGGTGCTTTGTTACCTGAGAAGACTAATGAATTCTGATCGGTGTACGAACAGCAATAGATTTTGATCAAACAGTTTATTGAAACTGATACTGATACATCTTATGATAGATTTTTTAGACATTTTGTTGTTGTGATACACTTTTAGATTCTTTTTGCACCGTAGGACCAGAAACTGTAGGACCAGAAAAAAAAACTTTCTAGTAAGAAGTTTTTTTGAATTAAGAATGAATAAGAAAATTAGATGTTAAAAAAACAGTGAATAAGTTTACTGTTCATAGCTGTTAATTTTTGTTTTGCTATTTCAAACTTATAAAATGCTGTCAAAGAAGTAAGACATTTAGTTTGTTTCAGTCTTTGTCTTTTGTTATTCATTCTTAAATTTAAAAAAAAAAAAAAACGCTGAATCACTTCTCCTGATGGTAAATTTTGAAAATAATATTAAATATCTGTTTTTGACAGTTGCGTAAATTGCAAGTTGTACAGTTATTATACTTGAAACTTTTAAATTTTCAAACAAAAAAAAAACATGAGTTGTTTAATTGTATTAAAATAATATTATATTTTTTGCTTTTCTTCTTCAAACTGCTTTTATCAAAAATTGAAAAGAAGAAAAAAGCACACAAAAGCAGAATGTTAATTCTAGTGATGTGAGTATTTATAAAAACAAGAAAAAGTGAAAACTAAGTTTTTTTTGCTACCTATTCATATCAAACTGTATCATCTTTTTAGGGTATGGCTCAACGAACACGTTATGAAGGTTTCGGTGATGTTGCTTCAGTGATCAAATTACATAACGGTGATTCAGCGACCTTCAACTTTGATACCGATCGTTCCATAGCAGAATTTTACTTTATTCCAGCAGAAAATTTAGAACGTATAACAATGTTACCGTTGCGAACAGATTTTGTTCGTAAACTTTCTGAAGCATCTCCAACGTCACTGAAGCTTCATGGATCTC